ACGCATTCACTTAATCTTCTATATTATATAGAAAAACCCCTTTATTTTTACAATATAAAAAAGATAACAATACAATATGATTTACAATACCATCTCTTATCGTCTTATTTATGGGAGATTTAAATACTATACCTAAATTTTTAATTTAAAAATCAATATTAAATATATATATGTATAATATTGTAATCTATATATACACACAATAAATATGTAATAAATGTGCAATACAAAATGGTTATAATATGTTCACGAACTTGTGTGAAAAATCATCATTATTATATATGCATACTCTATAAATATACATATATAAATGCATAAGATATTTATAAAAAATAATTATTTGTATTCAGTATTATTTGTTTTATATATGCCATGCCCATTGTTATAATAATAACAATATAACTATATGAAATACGAATATGGGGAGTTGTACTGTATACATTTTGCAAAGAACCATAAAATGGATACATATATATATATAGGTATATACTCATATATTAATATGTGTAACAATGTCATTTAAATGGTAATAGATTAAAATAATTCAGTTTCTGAATTTAATGGATTTATATTTGACTTAAAATGGAATGAGCAAGTTTCAACTTTTCGTTGCTATATTCATTGTTACAGATACACAATATTATTATAACATTTATGTATGTATGCATATTTTGATCATATTACGTAAAAATGTGTGCCATATAATTAAAGGTTCATCATCAACATCAATTACAATGGCACACAAAATTTTTTAAATTGTATATACAAAAATTTTAAGACTGATTTTTTCCACAAAATTGCTATTTACAATATTTAAATATAAAAATAATCTATATGTATATATATACAGACATACTCTTATATACGTATTTTTTTTGCCTCAAATATGCGTTACTATGACCAATGCCTCAAAAAAAAAAATAATTTTTTTTTTGTAAGCTAATTAAACCAGCAATATACTTACATACTAACATACTTATCATACACGAGGAACACAATCAAAAATTATGTTGAAAAGTATAATAAAAAAAAAAACGAAAATTTTGTGTGTGTGTAAATGTACAAACATAAAAAATCCATTCCAGCATTTCAATCTTTTTATTTAAAATTAAAGTGTACTTAAAAGACAAAAGCAAATTTCTGTTCAGTGAATACATTTTTGGTTGACATTTTGATTATCCAATTGGGAACGATTTAGACAGCAAAAAAACACCAAAAAAAAAAATTTCATGTCGGTTGTATGTCAAAAAGTAAAATATAAAAGGAATGATATATGTAAACGCCAGTACAGTCTAACGCCTTACTACATTACGTATAATATGAAAAAAATAAAAAAAAAAATAAAAAAAAAATTCCCTCAAGTCCTATGACTATATATAGAAAAAAAAAAAACATAAATACAAATCTTAAATTTAAAAAAAAAACATAACTTGTAAATGTTTTTTATTATACGAGTAGCTATACACAATAAAAAAATATAAAAAAAAAATTACAAATAAAATAAGAGCTCATTCGGATAAATAACGGCCTTTCTCGTAAAAATAACAACAGTTAAATTATATTTTTTTTTGTTAAATTTTAAAATTTAACAAAAATTATTTTATATGATTTTGAAATTTCTCTCTTACACGCAATAAATATTCATAAAAATTGCATATTTTTAGGAACTGCAAAAAATTATTATATTATTTATTTTTGCTTGTGATGTAAAAATAATCTCATTATTTTGCTGAAAGAATCATTTTAACAGAAAATATAACTGTGAATACAAGTAAATGGTGCAGAAGCTACCTGTAGAAAATTCTGCTTCCGTACAATTTGAAACATAAGCTAATCGGAGACGTAAACCTTTAAAAATATAATATTTTGATTACATCTTTCAAAAAACTGTGTTAAATGTAAGACTTATTCTTTATTATTTAGTCTAATTCAGATCTGCAATTAATATACATAATTGTTTACATCAATTAATTTAGTACAGTTATGATATTTTGATCAATTACAAAAAGAATATTTACTTTAAGATTGAAAAAAAAATCAATTTTTCATATCAGTCTTAATATTTCTATAACCCATATGATTTAAAACACGAAAATTTAGAAATTACTCTGAAGAAATGCAAAATTAATTTGGATCGTAAGATTGGTTCTATAAATAACTATCGTTATAATGTATACCAAAATTATATTCTACAGTTAATAATTGTTGCATACTTTTAGGAATAGTTATTTATAAACAGTGTTAACGTGTTAATGTTATGGTCAAATTCCAAAGACAGATCGGCTAAGTAACACAAATAATTTTTTTTTTATTGAAAAAAATCTTTCTTGCTTTCATAGAAACTTATAAATGCATGGAGTGTCGGATGATCCCAGAAAAATCGATTAATCAAATTTCAAATTTCTAATTTTTCCGATTTGGTTAGTTTTGAAAGGCAACAATTTAAAAAGAGGTGAAGACGGAAATGAGAGATACAGAAAAAGTCCTAAAAATTAATCGTGATTACTTATAACTTCTCACTTTTTTCTAATTTTATCTAAAACTGAGTACCACAACTTTTTAAAGTTCTCAAACGATTATGTTAATTTTCCTCATATTATACCTAATTTGAGAATATTATTTTTCCTTATTTAATACGATTGATTCATTTACCCTCTTCCTGATGTTAAAATTATTAATCTATAATCTATAATATTTTATCTATTAAACCTTCACAGGCCAATATTTTTAAATATTGCAATATACAATATGAATATTAATTTTCAATAATATTTAAATTCAATTCAATGAAGCTTAACTAAATAATAAAATTTAAATAAGCAAATAATTCTGTATATTATGCTTATTGAATTCAAAATATAATTTAGAAATTACATTCAAGACAATATTAAACATACGCAACTATGTATACATATGCCCTCATACACACTCATTTATACTCAAAAGCCCAACATTGCGTGAACACAATTAACTCACGTAATTAAAAATTCTTAAGATTTCTTTTATTTTTTTTTATATCATAACGAATATTAATTGAAAAAGCTCTCAAATCGATAAGAATATAAATTTCTCAATTATGAATATCAAATAAAGGGTTCAAAACAATTAATTAAAATTCAAATATAAATTATCTTACTTTGATAAAAACATACATAAATATATATATATAAAAGAAAACACGTGATGTTCTAACGTGACAACAAAATTTTAAATGATACGAGCATGTATTTGTATGTATATGTATTCATATCTATTTTATAGCTAATACCAATATAAATATGTTTGAAAAACACACGTACAAATACTTAAATTACAAATATCATTGGTGAAATTTGATAACCAAACAAGATACTCACATATTATTTCTGGTATTTAAATGGTAGCCCGGAAAAACATAGATTTTGAGAGAATTTCTTTAGAATAAAAGCAAAAATAATGAGTATATTTTTTGGTACATTTTAATTGAAAAATTTTCTCTGAGCTTTAAAGAAGCCGCTATTATCATTGGATTCTAAAATTTGGGCAACATAATGCTCTATAGTCATTCATATGTATACAATTTAATGATATTAACAAATTGTCATGTCACACGTTCAGAAAGCCAATTATTTACAACTTCGATCTTTTTACGTCAAATGTATATCACCATTGTTTTTCTCATATTAAAAGAGATTAATATTATTAACTTTTAAATATATAAAATTGTGTTTACATATTAAAGATTTATGTATTGTTATTTATATAAAAAAGAATAAATATTTTTCTTTGAATCTCAGTTCCGACTATCTCTTATCAAATTTATATTGCCCCACTGTAAGAATTGATAAGAATTTTTTCATATCATCAAAACATGTTAAATTAATACCTACCTATAAAATATGTTATTTTCGAATTTTCTTATACAAATATAGAAGTTCAAAAATAACATAAATCTAAAATTTATCAGTTTCACATTTAAATTTGCTTCTCTCAACAATAATTAGAACAAATAAAAGTTCGATTTAATCAATTTAGAGGGGGTCAACAATTTCAATAGTATTGCAACATTTATTTAAAAATTTTACTATTTTAAAATATAAAAAGTTCCATGGATGCAAAACAGTAAACGGTTTCCAAGTGATTACATTCATGATAGTTCAATATCTTGACGAGAAATTAATAGATAGTCTAACATTATCTAAGATTACCTTGTCACCTAAGTTAAGGTAAATAAATATTTAAATTGAAATTAAGAATATATTTTAAACAGCTCTGAAGTGTCTTCTTAATCACATTAAATACTCTCCAGTTTGCATAATCGAGTACATTTTCTATAACGATAAATATACGTACATATTGTTAGTAAATAATAAAACTTAAAAACTCAAATAAATGCACCTACTTGAAAGCTTAATACGAAAAAATTTTATTTCATAATATTGGCAATACTTTTCAAGTAATATACAAATAAACACATTGCAACAGAGTTGTTTGTTAAATAATCAGTAGTAAATTTCCATAATTAAAGTATCAAACTTACGAGATTGTTTAAACTTATATTATACAATGTAGCATGATTTCGGCAGTATAAGCCAAAAACTGAAATTTTTAGGATTTTTAAAGTCTACAATTTGATGTATAGAAAAGCGATAATTCATTAGGTGAGATCTACTTGTTTATTAATTTTTAACTTGTTATTTCGAGCTCTTGTAAATTGACGTAAAAGCAAACGGACAAGTATGATTATATAAAATTCGGAAAGCCAAGGAGAAATAAATTTTATTTGGCGAAAAACTAAAAATAAATGTTTACGGAAAAATACGAAAAGTTTACGACTAATAACGAAATATTAATAAACAGCTACACAATATGTAGTAAAATTACTACCCTACCAACAAAGACAAATCACTGAAAATTATTTTTAATTTAAAAATATAAAAAAAAAACTTATCAAAGCAGAAATTAAAATCAAAATGTACGCAAAATTTTCTATATAAATGTTCAAGTTTCACATGTTTTTTTCTCAGTTCAATTATTATTGTGAATACGTTGTTAGCAGGTCCATAACAAATTATTTTTAATTGGAATCTATTAAAATTATTTTGATTTCTTCTTTTATATGAATTAATTGTGAGTTTTTGAAAAATATATTTTGTTTTTCTATTCTTCTATTATTCAAATTTATTTACATATTTGCATATTATGTAATTTGTGATTAAAATTTATTGCATGTGCATTAAAAAAGAATACACAAAATAAATAAAAAATAAACTTATATACATTTGATAATTGAATTACAAATTGTTATACATTGTTGTTATTTTAACTGACCAGAAAAAACAAAGTGATATTTAAAGTGAAAAAAGTTTTTGTTACTCTTAAAATAGTATTGATAATTTTAATATTGAAAACTGTTATACAAAAAAAAAATTTATATTTTCTTTTAAATTTCTATAATGATTTTATTCATGTATAAATATGTTGTTCGGTTGATATTGATCTTCATTTCTCATTCTGGCGTTCATTTAAAGATGAGAGAGAAATGCAGTTGATTTTATCTTGTAGGACAATAATTCTTGTTGTGTACTGCATATGAATAAACTTAAAAATTTCCATTATAATATTCCAGTTCTAAAAATAAAAATAATTTTGATTATTTTTCTTAAAATACAAGAAAATGACACCAAGTTATAAATCTTCCATTATACACAGTTTATTTTTTTTTCAAATTTTTTTATCGGCTAAGATCAACTGAACTATAAAAATTAAACACACATAACTTTTTTCACTAACAAAAAAAAAATTAAAAATTTCAAATAATCTTATAAATTATTTAACAATACTTAAAAAAAAAATATTCAAATTTTTTATAGAAATTTGAACATTTTAATTAAAAGTTAGACACACAAGAATGACTTGATAAAAATATCATAGAAAACAAGCACATGTACGTATAACATGTGTGTTATTCTTAAATACCACTCTTTTTCAGTTTATACTGGTTAATTTAACATATTATTAGCTTTAACCGGTTTCTGGACTCATATTAAACCGATTTTTTTTCAAAATTTAAATTTAATATAAAAAACAAACCAAGTAAGCTAACACAATACCCTTTTTTTCGATTCAGAGGTGACAAAGCTTTTAAATTTAAAATGTCAGCAAATAATGTCTCTACTTTTGATGTATTCACGGAAAAGAATAAAAATGAATTTTATGTTGTTGACTTAAGATCAGATACAATAAGTAGACCAACATTAAAAATGCGGCAAGCAATGGCTCAAGCTATCGTTGGCGATGATGTATATGGTGAAGATCCTACTGTTAATGAACTTGAAAAAATCTCAGCTGAAATATTTCAAAAAGAAGCTGCATTATTTGTTCCAAGTGGTACAATGGCCAATTTATTATCAGGTATACTCGTTTGTTTTTTTGCTCAAGAATAATTTTAAATATTCGATTCATTGAATAAAAAGTTTATGTTCCATAATATTAAATTTTATTTATGTTGCTATTAAATTTATTATTATAAAATTGATTTCAAATATTCTCTATTTCTTAAATACTTGAATTTGCAATCTTTAAAAGCAAGTCGAAGAAAATTTTGCAAAAAAAAAATTAAAAGTTTTTTTTCGGCTTTCTATACACCTATACACAATAATTTTTTATATAGTGTACTTAAATGACTATAAATTACTAACATTTACGTATACATATATATATATATAGAAAAAATATCAAAACTAAATTAAATTAAGATAATAGAAACAAAGTTCTTTAAAGAAAATATTTTTAAACATATAAAAAGTTTTTCTTATATTATTTTAATTAAATTTTGCATATAAATTAAAACCGGATTGTCAGCCGTAAAGTTTCATGCACAAGATACTTTTGTATACTTTATAAAATAAAATAAAAAAAAATTTTATGTATATATATATATATATGTAGAATTAAAATTTTAAATAATTTTGTACTTATAAGTAATAATATACACATAAATACATATATACAAACAAACATATAAACATGTGCATTCGGTATATGAGATACGTGTGCAAAACAATATTGTTTTCATTTTCTTTAAGCAAAACCATCAAACTAAAAATACTTAATATAGAAATAAAAAAATATAAAAAAAAAATTTATTTTAGTGATGGTACATTGCAGTCGACGTGGTACAGAAGCTATTGTCGGTGATTTATCTCATGCATTTCTTTATGAACAGGGTAAGTTAAGCAAAATAAAAAAAAGAAACCATAGAAATGTTTTCAAATAGAATTTTCAAATTAACAGAACATGTCGAATAAAAATTTAATATTCGAATTCCATACAGTTGTTTACTAGCCGTATAAATTTTGCAAAATCGGAATACATTCAACCCAATCATAATTCACGAATGTTTTCTCTCCTGTCCGTACTAGAATTGAAATTCTTGTAATTATTACACAGCTCGGGAGCCATTTATTTTTTCAAAAAAAAAATAGTGAAATTTTCATAAGTCCAGTTCCATACCATGCAACAAATTAATCATAGTTCAATAATTACAGGAATTCTGCTCAGGCACCACTATTATTTCTGAAAAAAAAAATGATGAAATTCTGCTCGGGCGCCACTATTATTTTTGAAAAAAAAAAAACAAAAGTGGTGCCTGAGTAGAATATGCCACTCCATATATGTATTTCTCTATATTTAGTGTCTGAAGTCTAATATATCGCCCGAAATTTGATAGAATCATCACATTCATTAATAAAAAGCGAGTGCAAATTGACATTCTCTTAATACCGTCCCGTTAAAATTTCTGTATTTAAAATAAAGTGTGATCACAATACCTGCCAAATTGTATACCTACAGTAAATGCGGTCTATTCATGTGTGTTAATACAAAAATTTTCTTGTATCAAAAATTATTTCAAATATTGAACTATGCCAAAGTTAAGTTGATCATTGATATTTAAATGTTAACTCTAAAATAATTTTTTTCTTTTTAGAATTTCATTGAAAACAACATAGCATACATTATTTTAGAGTTGACAACAATTTCTTAAATCAATAATATTTGTGCTTGACTTAATAAATTTTCAATATTTGATTAATTTTCAACCCTTAAGAATTAATTTTAACTTGATCAGCTTTTATAACAAATTAAATGGTTTTCTAATGTACATATGTTATTATTAATTACACATGTACATATACATAATTATTTCTAATGTTATTATATTCAAGGTGGTGCTTCGCATATTGCCGGTGTCCATATAAGAACAATAAAAAATGAAAAAAATGGAACATTTTCACTTGAAGAATTTAAACAGAAAATTCGTAGTTATGATCAACATGAACCGATAACAGCATTAGTAATTGTTGAAAATACACATAATATGTGTGGCGGTAAAGTTATACCATTAGAATGGATTGAAGAACTATCAAAAATTTGTAAAGAAAATCAAATTATAATGCATATGGATGGTGCTAGAATATTTAATGCAATTGAAGCACTTAAAGTTACACCAGATAAAATTGCTAAACATTTTTCATCATTATGTTTTTGTTTAAGTAAAGGACTTTCAGCACCAGTCGGTTCAATATTAGTTGGATCCGAAAGTTTTATAAAAGAGTAAAAAAAAAAATTTTGCTTATTGTTTTCACATTTTAAATTTTTAATTTTATTTTAAGAGCTCGCCGTTTACGTAAAGCTTTAGGCGGTGGAATGAGACAAGTTGGAATTTTAGCTGCTGCCGGTTTAGTTGCTTTAAAAGAAATTGTACCACAATTAAGTGAACATCATAGACGGACCTATAAACTTGCCAAAGGTATTACTAATTTTTGTTTTTTTTTCTATTTCAAAATTTAATTCTATCAATTTGATTTCCTCTATAATAACTTTCATGATGACTAAATTTAAACAGTTAATCCTATACATATAAAATAATGTTAGTAACGTTAAAAATAAATTGAGTAGAAAATTTCTTATATATCTGCTAAGTTAGCACTTAATAAAAAAAAAAAATCGAAAGATAAAAATAATATTATATAAGTCATGATTAATAAATTTGTTCCCGTTTTCCACCCTTTTAAATACTTATATATATATAGAATAATCATAAAGTTCCTAAATAAAATAAAAAAAAAAAGTTATACTTGAACAAAACATATCCTTAAATATAAAACTATTAACACACATTTATACTTGTATATGTACACAATATACATTTTATATACTTAATTCCATGCAAACATATAAAATAAAATTTGATTTTCCGATTAAGTCCCAATACAACTTTCCTATTTTAAGATACTTTTGCAAGATAAAAACTTTTCTTTATAATATATTGGAGTCTCAATATTAATATACATACATATATATGTCCTATAATAATATATATGTGTGTAGAAATATAAATGTTTGATTGTATGTATATAGTACAGGAAATTCACGATAAAGAAAACAAGTAAAATTTGTTTAATTTTTACTGTCAATAACAATGAAATTTTAGAATTTTAAATGACAATCAACACATACAAAATGAAAAAATAAAAAAAACAATAATAATAATAAAAAATTACAATCAGAGTGAAAATTAAATTTCAATTAAGATACAAAAATGTAGGTAAATCTCAAAATGTCTCTAAAGACGTAAAAATGTTCCAATGACACCTTATTAAAAATTTATAAAATACGTTAACATTCCTGTATTTTATATTCGAACCTTTTGAAATAACAAAGATACTAAAAAAAAACAACAAGTCTATTATATGTTCTTTATTTGAATTAATATATTATGTATATAGGTATATGTAAATCTATAGATAAATTTCTAATACAAGGATATAAGTGTTAAAATATAGTTTCCTTTTTCCAACAAAGTTTCCTTTTTTGGTTTCCTTCGTATATACACCAAAAACTTAATATGCTATACAAACAAGAAAAAAAAAAATAACATTTCCTTTTTTATTTTTTGTTTTTGATTTTACAGCAATCGATAACTTAAAAAGTTCCAATATACAAGTTGATTTAGCCACTGTACAGACAAATATTCTTCTTATCCATATCACAAATAAACGTATTTTGGCTAGCGATTTAGCAAAACGATTAGTAGAGGTATCAAATAAAGAAAAAACAGCAGGAGTTTGTGATGATAACGGTCGTGGAATTATTGTTAAAGTTAGCTCAAGAGATTGGGAATTTGCTAGAGCAGTTATATATCATGATATCTCTGATACAGATATTGATTTGTCTATAAAGAAATTCAACTATGTTATTCAAGAATTTGATGAATTGTTTCCTAGATGAAAACCTTTTTTTTTTATATTTTTTTGTTTTTGTTTTTATATATAAATATATGTAATATTGGAATATAATTGTATACGCATTATGTATTTAATAAAAAAAAAATACATTAATATTGAAGAAATCTGTTATACATATGTGCATAAATCTACAAACATATATAACATAGATATGAATATCTGAGAAATGTGTATATAAATTCACCTAATTGTGAAATATTTTGTAAATATTTAAATGGCGAATTCTTTGAATAAATTTCAACAATTTTGCGACACATATACGAGACTAGTGCGCGAGTGTGGAGAAAGTAAATTTAGTTAAAATTTGGTTTTTCGAAAAGGTAAGTTATGTTTTAGTCAACAATTCATTTTAACAATTTTGTGATATTCGTATGGATAGGATGCTTACAATCCTACATTTGTGTCATACCGGTAAATAAAAAATAAATATGTCGGGGTCGATATAGGTTTCTTTAATTAGAATTAAATTAACAATTTAACAAGTTTTCTTTCAAATTCAATTTAAATTTTATGCAAAACTTAATGTGATTTCTTACTAATCGGAAAGTGTGCTATTTACATATATAAATATTTGTAACTTTATAAAGTAATATCAAAAAACTTTTCGCTAATTAATGAAATTGACTGTTATGAAATCATAAAATAATCCTTTTAAGTGTATGGAAGTACATAATATATCCATCTTAGTTTCGAAATGCCAATAGTAACTTTTAATTTGAGAGTTAAATTTGAGTAGTGGTTTAATTACGTTCGAAATAATACGAAATTTTGTTTGTTTTAAAAAATTTCTTGAAAAACTTATTTTTCTTTCAAATTTTCATTGCCATTAATATAAATTATCGTATTAACGACATTTTGATATATCAATTTAGATATTATTGATATATCGATATTTTATTTCGATATATACATAAATAGAAACTATATATCGATATTAAACTTTTATTTGCCCATCCCTATTTTGAATACAAATTAACTAATTAGTTGTAATAAAAATTTTAATCAATTATCAAAAATAATTCGCGTGTTTATTGTATTTTTAGCAATTTTTATAAAAAAAAAATTGAAAAAAAAAATTGATTATTTATTATAGCTTTTATATTTCACTGAAAAAAGACAGTATTAGCATAGATTTAAAAAAATCATAAAAAAAATGTTATATATAGCGCACGCCTCCTATATACCGTGTACTTCAAAATTGTAGTAATATAATATAACTCAGATATTAGTGTACAGTTCAGCAATTCCAACTCATTACTAAAATTTTAAAATCAAAGATATACTTCTGTAAAATTTTTAGAATAATACAAACCACTTCGGAATAATATTTTTCCAATAATTTTTCAAAACGTTCAAAACTACCACAAATTTTACTTTTCACTTAAAACTTGCATTATTTATTCTAATAGTTTTTTACAATTTTCACTAATATTATTAAATACAAGTACAAATACTATTAGATCCCTATTAAAAATCTTCAAAAATAAATTGAACATAAAATTTAATTTTAGTATATACGAGAGTATATAAAAAATGACCAACTATTTTATTAACAAATTAAAAATTTCCAGGACGAAAATCATAGGTAAAAAGGATGTTAACAATCGTGTAAATTTTATTCAGGTACATAGCTACTTGAATTGAAACGGAAAATGCATTTTCTTTAAAATTCAATATTAATAAATTCAAAGCAGTAATAGCGAACATATTGGTATATGGTAATATTTTGCAAAATGGCGCGCAATTTATATTGAAATATGCACGCAAAACAATCACAATAGCAAAAAACAAATTCAACCCGAAAAAACAAAATCAAATACCGCTTCGTTTAGTTAGTAGTCTAATGTTGCAGTGATTTCCTAATTTTTCTAAAATTATTTTAAAAGTTCTTTATGGCACAATATCCGAAAAAGGTTCAAAATCGTTCATGTACTCGTTTTTTAAATTTTGATGGCAATTGTATTTATTTTGTTTCTTCAATTTTACAGTTATATCTATAAAAATAATCTAAAAACAGTAAATACGAGTACATGAACGAAAACAATTTGATACTTGTATTCTCAATCATTATTTTTAAATTTAATTTAAATTCAGTACATATAACAGTTAAAATAATTTTATGTTAGAAATTTTAACCACTTGCAAAAACAAAAAATCAATATTTTCTAAATAATTTCAAAATTACCAATAATTAACAAAAATAGTCTGCATGTAGGTTCCTAATTAAATTTATAAATATATAAACAGATACATAGAATTTGGAATACCTACATAAATATTTTCATGTACAATGAAAATATTTCTGTTATATTGAAATTTTTAGGTGAACTTATATTAGAGAAAATATTATTTTTTTTCTAGCCAATATGTAAATTTCGATACTTTTGTAAAATAAAGTTGGATCAAACCATTGCTTAAGTAAAGCAGCTGTTGAACAAGCCAAAATACTATTTTTAACAATAATCTGCTAAATTATTAAAATATCTTTTATTCATATTATACCAAAATATAATATGAATACATTTAGGATGAGCATACATTTAGGATGAGCACAAAAAAGAAATTTGCAAGGAGCTTTAATGTAATAGTCGAATTCGACATTAAAAAAAAGTGAAAAAACTTGTAGTAAAGAAAGATAAAACGCAATGACTTGGATGGGACTGGAGGTGGAAATAAAATTTTCTTCAAACCAACTTAACTATTTTTTGGTGTCTAAAATCTATTTATAAATATTGGCTTCAAATCAAGAAATGGCAATTATTAGGACTTTGAAGGACAATAACTTAAAGAGAGGGGAGATAGGTACAAATAATTCTACAAAAATAATTTGATAGTAATTAAAATATATTTGGATATAAAATTTTAGCTTCGTGAATTCAAGGATGTAGTGGTTTTGGAAACAGATACTTGCCCAGCCCAACGGATGACGAACAGAATAAAACTATAACTTGCCAGAGGAAAACAATTTTTTGTTCCCATTTTTTATTTTTTGGAAAAAAGTGCTATTTTATATACCATTACTTATGACAGCTATAGTATGCCAACTAATATTATGGTCATACATAAATCTCACTTCAATTAATACAAACTGTATCATTCGTGTTTATTATACCAAAAACAATTTTCAATACAAAAACGGAAACAAGCATACAAGTTTGAAATTAATTTTAGTAGCAGGCATCCAAAATTAGTACAGTTAATGGAATATTGAGGAAATGTCGAAAACTATTTTTTACATTGTATTATAACAATTTATCCTTCATTTTTCCTATATAGTTACAAATTTATTTTTAAATATTGGGTTTATTAACGGTAAGTTCTTTAAGACTTTATTCTTAGATGACCGATTAGAACTACCAACTATCATATTGGAAAAAAAACTAGTATATAGTTCAAGTATTCTAAAAAAAAAAATTTTAATATTCTTATTAATTGGTTCAAAAAATTAATTATCTAAATGGAAAGGTCATTCTCATTTTATATTGTGTTTGAAAAATAAATAAAAATAAGTTTAAGTATTAATAAACGTATATAAAGAAAAATAAAAATGTTAACTATAAACAAATTGAAATCAAAATCAAATTACAGGTTTATTGATAGCAAATTTCCTTAATTATATTTTATATAGTTTTCAATTTAAATTCGTTCATACTCGTAAAATATATTTATTTCCATTTGATTTTATTGCGTATACTACACAAAAGACAATTTTTCCGAAAACTTGTATGTTTTCGAAATTCTGAGGTAAAAAAAAATTAAATTTTGTTAAACTTATTTTCGAAATTTCAGTTTTTAACATTAAAATCAAATAAAATTTTCGTACAAAATTATTTATAAATCTTCTATTTTATCATCCACATCTTTAAAATTGTCTTCAGTAAGTCATTGTAACTGTCAGAATTAAAAATAATAAAATTCAAAATAATCTTCCTTGCAGTCGCAGTTTCTAACAATGCTTTATTTTGTATATTTAGAAAATTCACAGTTTTGTTATTAGAACAACTTCTTTGATACGTTCATAACAATATCTAGGACAAAGTAAAAACTGTATTCCATCATTTAGAAGATGGGCTGTAGATTAGAAGCACTTTCTCGTAGAGTGGTTGATTAAAGAAAATGATATTTTATACTGAGAGGCTGTTCTACTTAGATGTGCAGTTCCACTTTAGTTCCAATTACGCAGTACTTGGAAACACTGAAACACTATTTCTTAATAGAAATAATTCAATTATTTGATAATTTAGAAAATAGAATATAAAATTAAGATCTACGATAAAACGATAGCGTAAAATTTTGATTTATTCGATTTTAGTATGAATTTCCATAATTTTAGTATAGTTTTCACCAACAAATGAATTTTGACAAATACTTATGAAAAGCATTACAAATTCTAAAATCAACATTATTATTAAATGTACTCAAAAATATTTTTCATGTTCAAAATATTGTTCTTCCCTTTAGTTAGACAGTCAAACAAATTTTTCAGAACGATCAACATTTTTCTTTTTTTTTTTCTCTCCTATTTTTCACCTTTTATACACGTTAAACGTAAAAATATTGATTTTATTTTTATTTGTATACATATGTATGAATTGGGATGGAACATTAAATATATATTTTATGGATATATATACATATGTACATACATATATCGTAAGTAGAATAAAACGCAAATTAGTTCGCTAAAAATATTCATTTGCAATAAGAGGAAAATTGGAAACAAAAATCCATATTTAACGATTAGAACACTTTTCATTTCTTGTTCCTTTTTGGCATGATATTGTTTAATTATGTAAATGCGATTGCCTATATACACATAAAAAAAAAAACAAAAAAAAAATAAGAAACAGATTGCGTGCTTCAGAATTTAGAGTTATTTCCAAATATTTTAATAACTTTCCGAATTCAAATGAGAAGGGGTGGCGGGGGTTAGTTGGCACAATGGGGAAAGTAAATAAAAGAAAATGTTAAAAAAATTTTGATAAGACGATTCCTTTAGGGTTCCTATAAAATATATTTATATAAA